CTATTTTTATCCTGTTCCCTTAGTGGCCAAGTCTCTGCACCGTAGAGCAGGACTGGCCGAACTGCTCGACCCTTCACAGACAGTCGGATGTCTTGACGGTGCCACAAATGTATCAAGTTGGCAAATACTAATCGAGCCTTTTGTATACGCACCGACACTTCATCTGTGATGCGTCCACCAGGTGAGATATAACTGCCTAGATAGCAAAATTTGTCTACTTCCTCTACTACTTCCCCAGTTAGAGCGAGGCTGGGTGCTGGATCAACCCAATCTTGTAATAGCATTTTACACTTTGAAGGTGCAAAACGCATACCGAACATGGCAACACTAGCACTCAAACTATCCAGAAAAGCTTGCAACTTACCTGGATCTTCACTTAGTGGCACAATGTCGTCTGCATACTCTGAATCAGACAGTCTGCCACCTGGAAGTAAATCGATACCACTATCCTCGCACGAGGATAGGGCTGTTTCAGGAAGTGAATCTATCCCGAAGTTAAACAGAAATGAAGGGAGAGGGTAACCCCGTCGAACACCACTTTCTGTGGTGATCAAGGGTGAAAAAGTGCCGTAAGCTCGGACTCGGCTTCGGCTACTAGCATAAAGCGATTGTAATATTGCGATTAACTTCTCGGACATTCCCTTCAGGGAAAGGTAGCGCCAGAGTTTCGAGCGGTAATAAGCATCCACCAGTCTCGTGGCCAAGTTCATTTTTGATTGAACTAGTTATCATTGGACTTACCAGTGCATGCGTACGTGTACACGTTTCGTGTGAGTGTTTCAATAATGTTGACCAGACGCCGTTTGAGGACCACATCTGGCATACTTTTCCGTAGTGATATCTGAAACACATCCAAATACGCTGTCAGAGAGTACTGATACATCTCATTGATGGTGGCCAATTCCGAGAGGACAAAGAATAGGATTGCACCCCGTTTCGCTGCTGGCCGATAGGCATCCCGTAACTGATCGATATCGATCGCAGTCTTTGCTCCAAGTTCCAATTTCTCAGTAACCTCCGTTGCTTTCGATTTCGTTTCGTCCAACGTGTTTACGAGGTCCACATTGTCCAACATGTTCCCACTACTAGTGGCTAACTCTCGTAATAGGCTGTCTTCCAAATCTTTGAGAAGTTTCTTGTTCTGGCTGTAAGAGATAGTTTATGGTGGGGAAGGGGAGAAATCATCACCTCTTTGTGTTCAATCTTGTTTGACAATGACTTTCCAGTGTAACATTGCATATATATATATATATGTCGTCAGAGATGAACAAAAGAACTTTCTTCAAAGGACCAACTGACTAGATATCACCGATTATCCTATTGTCAACGTAATTATTTCAATCCCCATTAAATTCCCAGTTTATTGAGAGCAATAGTCTGAGCTAGGTGGAATTTATTTGGACTGAACATCTTCAGATTCCATCCTCACGTTTACACAGTCAGCCATACACTCAGAAAGCAACAGATTCGATATTCACGCCTGTCCAGTTGACAGCGTGAATTGAAGGTTGTTCGCAAAGTTTAGGTGTGAAGGATGGTCAGTTCAACTCAATACTTATTTTAGTTCCACTCTCAACCAAGAAAAAATTCTACTACTTTAATTTTCAGATTACACTACAGTTTGTGTACGTTTGATAGCCATATAAGACCGAAGACTCTGAAAAAGAAGTAGGGACTTGTGAAGTTTAAGTAACAGGAACCTATTCCAAAACGGTATGTTCGTTAGCCGTTTCGAGTTGTTCAAGCATCAGATATGGTTTGCGATTTGAATGAGTTTCACTCACTGGGAGTTCGAAAATTTTCTACATTTGGGATAGAACACTTCGTGATAATAATGCGTGTCACTTCATGCACAAATGGTTTTCAGTTTTTGAGCAATGCTTTTGTAATGGTTTGGTCACGTCCGACAGCGTTGATCAATTAATCTTCACCATTGCTGTCTTCCTTTCTTAAACTACCCAATCTCTCTCTGAGACAAACTGAAAAGTAGCTTTCAATAGTGAAATTGAATACCCTATTGTTGGAAATTCACATTGCCCACATTTCTCGCCAAGGAAGTCACAAATGAATCTCGTTCTACATTTGTTTCACTTCCATTTGGTCCGAATGTAAGTGTCTGCAATGTGCAACTTCCACTAATCTGGCTGGTTATTCCTTAACAGACACCGATTTGTCGATGGCTTCAAAGTGTAACTGTTACGAAGGAAAATCAAGTGTCACCGTTCATCTCACCACGCATCACTTACCGGTTCTCGCTGACTTTCATCGAAGAAATCAAACACCGTAGGCATTGAAAATCCGTCACAGAATGTGTTTATAAAACTATTTGTGCATAGCTAAAATACACACTCGTATTTGGATGCATCTATCCGTGTATCTGTCTGTCTGAAAGTGAACGGTTTTTTTTACTGGTACAAAATGAGACCCTGAAGGCTTGTAGAGCACAAAAGTATCACACGTTTAAAATTAGCCTACGTTTGCTTTCGTAATTGACTGGGTGCTCCTCAAGTGTAACTCAAATCTTCAGGGTGGTAGGTGGGCAACTGGCTGCGAATTCACTAACCTTGTCTCGCGAATCAGGGTTTCCCGTTGTTCTTCCAATTCACATCTTTCTGATTTCACAATCACACTCAACAGTTGATCTTCCAGTCCTTTCATCGTCACCGTATAGTTAATCACCATGGATTTACCAAACACGTCCGGACCGTATTGCGGATTGGCTAATTTCGTGACCAGATATAGACGGAAATTCGGGTCATAGTCCACCTCCTTGTCCCCAAGGATCACAAATTGGCGATTCTAGTAGGGTGCAAATGGAAACCAGTGTGATGGTGTTAACTCTGAAAAAGAAAAGAATTTGACTACCAACAGCACTCCAATAACATATTGCTGACTGCTTATCGCCATGTATCGCAAACGCCGTCGAACCATCGCAGTAAACATAAACTGAGATTTGACATTCGACAATTAATATCCATTCGCTATTTCCAGCTTTCTAACATGTACTGAATGTTCGTGTTTTCCTTTGGCAACATAACGGATTATGCTTCAGTGTTGCTTCATCTGAGTTTGTACTAAAAGTGGAATACATATGTACTAATTCTGATCATTGAATCCACATCTTACGTATGATCTGCATGAAGCAAGTCCCAATACTCATAGGAATCCTTAATTGGCATAACTTAGCTAACTCTTAGCTAACTATCGGAGGAGGCATTAGTTTCTTGGTCAAATTTTGATAGCATCTCTTGTGAATGCGTCCGTGGTGTCTAGCGTTTTTATCGATGCATCGACTAGTCAGAGTAACCATTTGAAACACTCATTAACGTTCTTCGCTTCAGACTGATGAGATACTAAAACGTCAACTCAAGCGGCACTGTAGTGCAGTTTGTTAAGATGTATGGGAAAACCACACATTAACGTGTAAAGTGGTAGAATTTATGAAGTAATGTTACGATTACGTGCATATACGAATGTTCGAATGCCATAGCATAAAATTTGCATTGTATATATTTTATATTGTATACATTGCCTATCTTCTGAAAACCATGTGGTTTATAGAAAATGTACCAGAAGGTTTATGGCACCGTGCTTGCTCCCAAGCCAGCATTACATATGTTCGCCTCACTCAAGCACTTTTATTCGCAGCATGTTATAAGGCTAATATATCGATGTTTCTTATTGTTTTTTGCCCACATCTAGCTACTGTCAAGGTTTCAGCCGTTCATTTAAGAATATCTCAAAGCGATACTGTTCATTCTGGACAGGTAGAAACGCCAAACATTTACAGAACACAATAGCAATGTAAAACGAATGGGTAAACATCAACGGGTGCTGATTAGAACGAAAGACATAGAATCTTGTATGTTGCTCTGTGAACATTATCGGATACAGTTGATTGTTCAGCAGACTTTTGGAATAAATTGCGTAATATTTCAGTAATAACAGTGCATTACCAATAATAGAATCTATTGCGAGAAGATAATAAAGTTCTTTGACTTACTTGATCCCCTTTGATATTTCTCTCCAACACATCATTGATGACCGGATCGATATACTCATCAACGTCCTTGAAAAGAAAGGGTATTCCATAGCGAATAGCCAACTCTAATTGTTTCAAAAAATCGCTATCATTAAATGTGGCTATTTTTAATTTGTTCGGTTCTTCTTTGTGCCGAATCCACTGGATCGCCTGTTCCTGTGGGTCTATGCACAGGGGAAAACGTGAAGCTCTCACAGTCAGAATGCCGTTTTGCACACTGAGCTCATCTGGTGGTAGACCTTCGGAGTTCCACTTTGACACCTCCACATCGTTGGTAAGTATATCTTCCAAACGGAACGGTTGACTCAGCGGAACCTCCCGATCCACAAGCCATGATTGCCACTCATCATACACCATCCGTTTCCGATATTCCCATGAAAACGCGCCCACATAGCTGAGGAATGCAGCACCGAGAACACAATCACCGAGTAATTTGACACGCTTCACTTTCAACTCTTCCATGTCCCGTCTCCAGCGAACCTCTTCTGAACTGAGCCCATTGATAAGTTTATCTGCGGCGATCAGGCGGCGTTCCATTAGATCCGTTTCTTCCTGCAACTTCTGACGTTCACTCATCGCATCCTCGTAACGTCGATTTAGATCGATCAATTCTTTTTCGAGTTTGGTGACTTCTGAGTCAATTCTACTCAGATCTCGCTTAGCCTGGAATTATATGAAGATTGAATGCTTTTTCACACTCGAATAGCCCACTCAACAATGTCATAAAATGATAAAAAAGGAAGCCAACCCCGGGTGAGTAAACAGAACTTTTTCCAAGGTAACCTACTGTCGAATTACAAATATGAACATCGAAAAAAATGTACCTGATACGCACAAACAAGCAAGTATCCCCGTCATTATCTGGTATTCTTTGTTAGTTTTAACCAGAACGACTGCCTGAAGCACTGGAAGTCAAATACTTCAATGTATATCTTCACTTAGTTAAGAAACATTGATCCCTTCCTTGTTTACACTGATAATCATAAAATCCTGGTAACTTTTGAATGATTAGGAATCAGGACTAAAATGTTCCGCAAAAACCGGTTAGTAATATTTTTCATTTCGTGTGACGATGCTCACAGGCGTAATCCTGAAAGTTGGTAATCCTACGGTTTACTACTTGTGAGTAGTTAAGTACAAAATGAATCTGTCACTCGATTGTTCGCACTGAAATTGAAGCAGTGGGAATGTGATACCACCGTTTCCGTGTACTCTAAAACGGAAAGAGATATCAATTCATGTTCAATTAAAATTCCAGAAAAAATGTAGGAATCCAGAGGACTTTGAATGAATGAGATCCAAAAAAGCAAAAGAAGACGGATACCCATAACTCTGAACTCTCGTAGACCAGACAAATCATCCCTCATTTTTAGTGATGTTCTATATCTTTGAGGTTAAGACAGTGGCATCTGAGATCAGGTATGTTGCTTAGAGTTCGGTTCAATGCGTAGTAGTGAATATCGGTGCTGGGGTGAAGCTTCCGATTGAGGGCTGTTAGCTTAGAGCTACGGAGTCACTGATTGGATTATAGTTCGAATATGATGCAAATATTCAAAAGTATTTAAATGCCTCAACAGACAATAAAAAGATAGGTATATGTAAAAATAGGTATTATTGGAACTCATGATTATATATATTTTAATTATATATATAATTATATACATATAAAATGTATTTAATAGACAAAAAACATCAATTAGGACCTGAGAGGCTTCCTGAAGCCGGTTCGAAACATGTGGTTATCCTGGACAGAAAACCAAGATGTGATGTCATATACAAAAACACACACGACCGAGACGGCTTTCTCCTGTGCTAAATTTTGCATTACGAAATTAAGTAATATTGGTATTCTCACGAAAACAACTTATAACACACATCTAACTTATCATAACATTATATATTATTGTAAATATATGTTTATGATAATAGAAACGAAAGTTATGTGAACAACAATTATAAGTAATAAATCTAATAAAAATGTATTATAAACTAGCGAGGGCAAACTTTGTTCGTGTGATTGTAAATAACTTCAAGACTATTTGAAAAGGTTTGAATAGAAATTTTATACTGAAAGGGGTATTCGTTTGTCAAAAAAATACATGCAAGAATTCCCATGCGATTCTCACAGCTGAAGCAGCGGAAAATAAATTCATTTTGGCAATCCCAAAAATCCTACAAAAGCACGATATGTTCACACGACCACGTTTGTTATTTTGGTAATAAACCTCGGTCTTGCACATATTCAACGTAAGCACAACTTTTGCAAGTACGCAACAGATGCCCCAGGTGAAAACCAACAGACAGCTTTAAGGTCACAGGTTTGAACAAAACTGCATAACCTCATATGTACGTAATAAAATAACTATATAAACAAGCACTTGTAAACAACATACCAGTGAAATCGTAGGGGTGAAATCTGACTCAGCAAAATTACCACTGGGGACCGTCTCGCTAAACTCTGCTCACTTTTCCTCTTCCTACTGAGTACAATAAATATGAGTGAGATAACATAACTTCAACACAAATCATGGCGGTATACTCAACTCGAATATCACAAAGTCATGATTACTTTCCTTGAAAATTCACATGTTGAGTTGACCAGCTTGTAGTCCAAATCTAAACTCTGGAAGTTGTTGGTCAGGATAGAATATATCAAAGATTTATAGTTTCTCTACTGGACTAAAGAATAAACTAGAAAGCATAGTGAGCATCGATTTCCGTTTATAAGACGTCGTTTAGCAGTATACGGGAAATGAGTAACTAGATTTTCAAACAGTAATGATAGACTGTATGTACACTGGAAAGGGTTAATAATTGCATCAGTCATGCATTTTTCCTGTTTTTTCACATCATCTTTAGAAGATATATGCATGAATTCTTTTTTTTCAATGAGCACAGCTGTGAAATTTTTTAACATTTTCTAATTAGTTGTTGCTTTGGTGGTTACTGCATAAAGAATGACCGTCCTCAAGCTGTAAGTGTCGGAACAGTGTTGCCGTATTTGTGAGTCCTTACCGTTTTGGGTCGTATAACATGGAATCATTAAAAAACACAGAAGCGGAACTACACAAAAAGAAGCGATGTTATAATTACACTGACTTTCACAATGAGACCAAACGCCTGGGTGTGTGAATTCCATGGGTTGGTGCAAAACTTTTATCGCGGAGAAAATTNAAAATTGTTTTCGTTCAAATAAAATACTATCTGGTGAGATTGCGTATTTCCCATTGTCATTTGTTTGACATCACAAATGGTGATGATTGTGCATGTTGGAGTGGAGATTCATCCAGTGTCCAGGAGGAGGGGTAATACAGTCAATCTCCTGCTATGTCGCACTCAACCAATGGCGTTGCACCCAGTGTGACGCGTTCATGGCACTGTTCACTGATTGGATAATCCTAGAGAGGAAGTCACACCGATGCAACAGATCGCAGACAGCGTCATTTGACGTTAAAATATGCAAGCGCCTATCGATCAGAGAGAAGCAGGTGTTGGAAATGCTGAAACGGCCAGGTGCAACTCAGAGCTCCGTAGCCAAGTCACTTGGAATTTCACGAAAAACTGTCTACAATGTTGTATCCCACCGAACGAGTATCGGGGAATTTTTGAACGCTGGTGCATCTGAGGGCAGATGCCACCTGAAAACCAACGAAAAGTTCAAGGCAGTGAATGAGGCAACTTTGACTTGGTTTACCGCTATGAGGTAAAAGCACGGAGAGTTCCTAATGGTGTAGAGCATCGTACGTAAGAAGGCAATCCAGCTAGCACAAAGATTGCATCATAATGACTTCAAGGCTTCCAAAGGTTGGTTTCGCTCTTGGTCAGACAGATATGGTATTCAGTCGTGCAAAGTAAGAAACAAGCAACTCATGTGCATTACTTTGTAGGTCTATGAGGAAAGTTTAGTGGTACCACATGAAGCAGTGGATCAGTTTCGAGCGGGGTTACCGCAGTTGATATAAGGATATGCTGCTGTAATATTTTCAATGTAGATGAAACAGCTTTGGAATACAGGCAGCTCCCAGAAAGAACATTGAATCTGAAAGGAAAGACAGTTTCCGGATCCAAGAAATACAAAGAAAGAGTCACGTTACTGCTTTGTGGGAGTATGACTGGAGAAAAATTATCACCGTTGGTGATCGGAAAGTTTCAATATCCACCATGCCTCCAAGGTGTTGATAGAAAAAGCCTTCCATGCAGTTATAATTCTTCAAAGAAAACATGGATGACTTCTACGATATTTCACAGTTGGCTGTCCGATTTCAACCGCAAAATGGCTTCTCAAAGGTGATCCATTTTACTACTTATGGACAACGCCCCCTTGCCATAACCAAACCACAGTATTTTTGAACGTCAAATTGGTACGGCTGCCTCCGAACTATTCTTCGATGGTACAACCAATGGATCAGTGTGATTTATTCTTTCAAATGTTCGTTTCAGAAACATTTACTGGAATATGTTTTGTCTTTGATCGAAGATGAGCAAAGTATCATGAAAGTCGAGGTGGATATTCTCATGGCCCTGCATCTGGTCAAGAAAGCTTGGGTGTCTGTGCACCCGCACGTACTGATCAACACTTTCATGAAAGTAGGGTTCAAATCCACATTGATTCAGCCGGTGATGCAGCCACCAGAGGATAAATTCGATCTGATCGAGGACTTTACACATTGTCTATTGATGACCGTCTTTTTGAAGAAGAAATCGCCTGTTTGGAACTTGATGGTGAAGAAGTGGGTTATTTAAAAATTTTGTATCAAGTCTCTTTTTAGTCATTAGATGAATTCGTTTCGCATCAAGCTAAGCATCGCAAAGAAGAGGAATGCGAGGCAGTGAACGCCCCGGAAGTTATCTCAATCAGAGAGGCACAGAAGTTATTGGATCAATTGAACCTCTTTGCCTCGGCTAATGCTCGGAGTTCGGGTCGATTATTGGAGTGTACAATTGATTTAAACAGCGCGTTTGTTGATTTCCAACGGAGAGCCAAGCTGAAACAAATGAAGATTTATGATTTTGCTAAAAATACATCTTTCTAATCTGGGAAGTTTTTTTGCTATTCTGTGGGGCACTGAACTGAAATGTGAGGCACTCGAATGTGGTCATTTTTGCTACAGTGGTCACCAAAGCCACGGTCATTCGCTCTATTGATGGGCTCTGTAGCACTAGCATGCAAACGGGTGAACGATATTCGCGATTGACTGGTAAGCAGGTGAGTGAAGTGAGCTGTTAGATCCGAGCGATCGATGAACACCGTCACACGGACGCGCCCTTGTGAATGAATGAACTTGGCCTAGAGCACCGATGAAATTAGACAGGTCACTTGCCAAAGGTCATCGTAACCCGGGTCAAAGGAGAGTTTGTGAGATGAACTTTTAGCTTATGAATCTATTTTGGTGATTCTCTGCCAACACTTAGCATCGGATTCCGAACCTGTCCTTCTCGGGTGTCGGCCTGAAAATGGCACGACCGATCGGGTTCATTTATCGATCGGTGAAATGGTTCAGTCGCAACAAGGGACCTGGTGCTTGCCCAGTTAACCCGAGCGAGAAACCACACCTTGTCTACAACCGTGTGTCTTAGGCAGGCCCAGCGAACCTTGATTGCGCAACAGGAGTGCCATCAGCACACGGATGGACTGAACGTGACAACAAGATCATCACCAAAAG